TGTGAAGAAACTTCACAAACCACTGTTAATAAAAAATCGTGTAATATTATAATTTAGCTTGCCGCCAATATTCTTTTTGGCGCCAGGAGAAAAATCCAGAATGTCTACAATACTGCACTGAAAATTTTATATCAATTTTTACAACTGCGGATACACCTTATGCACTTTCTATTAATTAAGAATTTGGCATAAATGTGAAATTTGGCAAATAAATAATTTCAAACTTCTAAATAAGTTATTCATTTCGAATATATTTAATACTTAACCTTTCGTCTCACCATCAAAGTGAGCCAAAATTATTACGAACTTCACAGCTATTCCGTCCTGTTAATTAACGAATATTTAAAATAATAATTACTTATTTTCGATTTTGGTAATATGCAATTTAAGTTATATAATTAATTAGTAGCTGTTTTAATTAAGTACTGTAATGTTGCAATGTACTGTACTTCGTTACGATTACAAACACAGTAATGCTTCGTACCATGAATTACTTTTGGACAAGAAAATTTGTTTGAAGTCGCTTTATAATTGTTTCTAGACGACATTTAATTTCACAGCAATAATATGAAGTCACAAATACTTGCAAGATGACTAGTTACAACTTTCGGCGCCAAACACTGTTTTTCCACACAAAGCGGGAAGACAAGCCTAACGGACCTACCTCTCCGTACGCAGCGCAACGACCCAATGATGTGAAACTTGGAGAAGTCGTGTTCGCGGGCTTCGCGGGGTTGTTCTCGAATCGTCTTATGATGTCACTGATGTATCGATACTGAATTGCATTTCCAGTGTCGGACTCTAAAAATTATTTTAGACATGGCAAAGTGTTAAACCAGATGTTTAAACACACAAAGCCCAGATTTCCACACGTGGTCCCACTAAACAAGATTTTATATTCTGCAACTACCAATTAGTTACGATACAGAGTAATTATCGTTAGGTTACAAAAACTCATTTCATGCTCAGAGTAAGCGACATAAATAATCGAAAAAAAAAAAATGTAGAAGAAAATTATTTTCGTTGAAGAGAGAAAAATGAGTCTGCCTCTGTGGTCTAGTGGCCAGAGTTCCTGGCTAGAGATCCAGAGGTCTCGGGTTCGATTCCTTACGCTACCAGATTTTCTGTGAAATAGTGGGTCTGGAACGTGGTCCACTCAGACTCGTGATAACTGAGGAGCTGTTTCAAGGAAACAGCGGCTCCGGTCTAGAAAACCGGGATTAATGGCCTTAGGGATCCGTTGCGCTGACCACGCGACATCCTCTATCCGCAAAAAGTTGACACTAACTTCGCCGAAAAGCGGAGGTTGCTCGGTAGAGTTCGCTTGCGGACTACAGGCCATGGAGTTTGTTTGGTTTTTTGTTTTGTTTGAAGAGAGAAAAATGAAAGAGGTAATAGAGACAATTACATGTGGAGCATTATTGCTTATACTATGCATTTGAGAGATCAAGATGCTTGTAGTTGAGTGCTTTTTATTTTAATATAAAAATGGATTTCCAAGTTAGTGAAAGCAAAGTATTCAGGAAAATATTTTAAAGGAGAGTTAATATTAGTGGAAAGTGAAAGGTACTTGAGATCTCCAAGTGAGGTTCTTCAAGTAGAGGTTATGATGGGATAGGCATGTAGCTAGGACGCAAGCCACAATAATTGAATGGAAACGTCTTGGAAAGTGAAATGATCATAGACCTAGAAGACAGTGGAAATGTGATATCAAGTTGCATCTTAAGGACATCTTCAACTACAGCAAGAAAAAAATAGTGTTACAAAATAAAATAAATAACTGGAAATAAAGCTTTGGGATAATGAGGAGCTTCATAACTTGTACTCTTCTCCAAGTATAATTAGAATGATCAAGTAAAGGAGGATGAGATGGGTAGGGCATATAGCACGAATGGGGGTGAAGAGGAATGCATATAGGATATTGGTGGGAAATCCAGAAGCAAAGAGACCACTGGGAAGACCAAGGCGTAGGTGTGTGGACAATATTAAAATGGATCTTAGAGAGATAGGTATGGGATGGTATGAATTGGATTGATCTGGCTCAGGATGGGGACCAGTTGAGGGCTCTTGTGAACACGGTAATGAACCTTCAGATACCATATAATGCTGGGAAATACTTGAGTACCTGCAGAATTGGCGGCTCTCCAAGAAGGGCTCAGCTCCATGAATAAGTAAGTAATGCTATGGGAGCCCGAAACTGACCACTCACTTCAACGTTTGTGTTGTGATCTAGAATAAATATTGTCCTCATGTCCTCCATACGCCTTTATGACCTTGTGTTTATGCTTAGCAACGCCAAGGATACCCTAACAATAAGTTTTGTGGCATTATACAGTTATAATTATTAATGACAATTTACGGAGTAGCAGCTTCTCCCGGTTATGACATTGCAACCAGTCCACCACTGTAATCCTGCGACGCAATCAGTGATGTCACAGAGATGACGGAATGAAGCTAACGGACGAAGAGTACGGCACGTGTGTACTACGCCCCCTCCTGCTTCCCTGCCCTGCCCTACTCAAGGTCACTGTCAGGTGATCAGTAGCCAATATGGCGTACTCTTTAGTTCAGATGAAATAAAGAAAAAATCTACAGTATAAAATCTATTTTATATGAATGTACGTTTGTATTTTAGTAAATTCTAGGCCAGTAATATTGTAAATCGTCAGAATTACTAAATGTCATTTAGTAAACGTTGTAGGAGCACTTCAAACCATACAAACGGCCTGAGTTCGAATCCAAAGGCTTCCACAAGTAAACATATGAGTATTGTATCTTCATAAAATCCTGCCGTTTTGCTTCAACCTCAGAAAACTTTGCATAAATACCTTCGAAATTAATGTTATGGCTCTTGTTTCGATTCCAGAGTGTTCTGAGAGTGGAAGTTCGTTGAATATTTTCTTTAAATTATGTAATTACATTAGGACCGTGACAAATATATGGTAGTTAACAACCAGGTTTAAGTGAGCATGTAGATTATTACTCAGTTCATGCAAGTGAGTAGAATTATGTTCAAACGAGTGTTATAACTGCAATGTAGGGGACCACCTAGGGCAGCTGGTAACTATTCTACTGGTCAAAACATTCCCTGCTTTTACAATACACGAACATTCGTCGCCATGTTCATGAAAGCCCTCTTATAGTGGCCAGTCCAAGCCAGTTCATATTATTACGCCCTGTTTCCACTTTACATCAACTGAAATGTGGTTTGACTGTGACACAATCCTAGGTCTTCGTGGTTTTTGTCTGGTCATTACGGACAGAAAAAATAGGCCCACAGGAGTTAAATGTGTACGCTACAGGACCTTGCAAATCCAAACTGGGGTTTACCAAGAAACTGCTCACATTAATAATAATAATAATAATAATAATA